TGGCAGTTATGAGTAAAGCTACCATAAACATTTGTGTATAGGTTTTTATATGAACATGACTTTCATTTCTCTTGTGTGAAGACTAGGAATAGGATTGGGTCATATGGTAAGTGTATGTTTAACTGTAAGAAACTGCCAGTCTGTTTTCCAAAGTGGCTGTAACATTTTTACATTTTCACCAGCAATGTATGAAAGTTCTGGTTTCTTCACATCCTCACTAGAACTTTATATTATCTGTTTTGTTGTTGTTTGCTTGCTTTTGTGTGAGTACTTTATTAAAATGTAGTTGACATACAATACTATATTAGTTTCAGGTTTAACTTGCTTTTGTTTAATTTTGTTTTAGCCTTTAAAATTGGGTAATGGTATCTCGATTCTCATTCTAGATGGAGAGTGGTATCTCTTATCTCAATGTGGTTTTAATTTGCATTTCCCTGATAACTAATGATGTTGAGCATGTTTATTTGCTATCCATATATCTTTGGTGCAGTCTGTTCACATCTTTTGCCATTTTTTAAATTGGGTTGTTTTTGTATTAAGGTTGGACAGTTAAAAATAAAATGTTCTAGCTACAAGTACTTTTGCAGATATGTGATTTGCAAATATTTTCTTCCAGCGTGGATTGCAATTTTCCTAGCAATGTCTTTTCATAGAGCAAAAGTTTAAATTTCTTATGGTATCCAGTTTATCAATTTCTTTTAAATGGATTGGATTTTTGGTGTGGTATCTAAGAAATCTTTGCCTCACCCAGTGTTACAAAGATTTTCTCCTAGAAATTTTCTATTTTTATGTTTTAGAACTAGGTCAGCACACTTTTTCTATAAAGAGCCATACAGTAAATATTTTCAGCTTAGTGGGCCGTATGGTCTGTCACAGCTACTCGACTCTATCGCTATAGGGCAAAAACAGTCACAGACAGTACATAAACAAGCAAGAGTAGCTGTGTGCCAATAAAACTTTACTTATAAAAACAGGTAGTGGGTCAAAATTGGCCCCCAGGCCAACCACTGTTTTAGAAAGTTTACTTTTTACCAGACATAGAAGATACTGCACACCTCTCTGGATAATGAGAAAGGGGTAATTACTGTTCGTCCATGAAGGTAGGTGAAGGAGAGGCAGAAAAGTAGATACCTAACCCAGAACAAGGGTGAAGAGAGGGAGGGATGAAAAAAAGAGGAAAGAAGAAGAGAAATGTTAGAATCATATTTGGAGCAAACTTCAGTGTGCATTTTAATTTCTCAGAGTTTACTCTTGCACTTTGGTTCAGGTTTCAGCAGATGTTTTTGTTTGCTCTTGAGCTAATGATCTCAAAGTCTCCTGGCCACACACAGTTTAACAGGTTCATGGAGTTTTTCAGAATTAAACCTGTTAATGCTGACGGTCTTGTGCTTTCTACTGAAAAATGGCATTTATCTAACCATTCTTCATTAATACATATTTAGATTACATTCAGTGTTTTACTTTTACCAACAGGGGGTCATGTGTTCCTTGCTCATGTTTCCCAGAAGCACATGTATATTTTCCTAGAACAGATTCCTACAGTTCTGAGGTGGAGGGTAGCATTCACATAAAAAATCTTGGTAGGCACAACCAAGTTATCCTTTACAAAGGTGGTACCATTGCCCTAGCCGGTTTAGCTCAGTGGTTAGAGCATTGGCCTGCGGACTGAAGGGTCTTGGGTTTGATTCTGGTCAAGGGCACATACCTCGGTTGCAGACTTGATCCCCAGCACCGGTTGGGGCGAGTGTGAGAGGTTAACCAGTCAATGTGTCTCTTTCACATCAGTGTTTCTCTGTCTCCCTTCCACTCTGTCTGAAAAGCAATGGAAAAAATGTTCTTGGGTGAGAATTAAACAGGTGGTACCATGTCACATTCATATCAAAGGTGTTATGAGGGTATTTCCCCCTTTAAACTGGACTTATTCCACCTGACAGGCAGAAAGTAGCATCTCTTTTTATTTCACATTACCTTCATTATTCATGAACTTGAGCTTCTTTCCATAGCCTCCTAGCCATTTGAATTGCTGGCATCTATTAGTTGCAGTTCATATCCTTTTTCCACTTGTATGTTAGTGATATGTTGTTTTTTTCTTACTAATTTGTAGATTCTCTGAATGCAGTTTTCTTAACCTTGGCAGTATTGACATTTTTGGGCTGGATAGTTCTCGGTGATAGGGGCTGTCCTGTGCCTTGCGGAATGTTTAACAGCATCCCTGGCCTCTACCCACTAGATGCCAGTAGCCTGTACACACACACACAACCCACCCCTGCGCCCCAGTTGTGATAATCAGAAAAATCTTCAGACATTGCCCAGTGTCCCCTGGGGGCAGAATCACCCAGGGTGAGAACCACTAATCTAAGTAATACAGTTGATTCTTAAACAACACGGGGATTAGGGGTGTTGATATCCTGTGCAGTCAAAAATCCACATTATAAAAATATAGTTGACCTATGAACTATACAGGGGTTTGAACTGTGTGGGTCCACTAAAGGCATTCCAAAGCCTGCAAGCTTTCAATCCTGTGTTAAGGTCAACTGTGTTTTCTCCATCTGCTGCTTATCTGTTTCTGATGCCTTTTGGCATACTAAGTTTTTAACCTTATGAAGTCTAACTTTCTAACCTCTATTTTATGGCTTTTGATGCCAACCTACTTTATAAAGAGCAGGGAACAGAACATTTTCAAATAAGTAAAAGAAATGCTGGAAGATTGGTCTAATGTTGCATGTATATATGGTCTGAAGCAAGTTCAAGACAAGAAACCATGCTCAGTTTCTCTCTCAGCATTGATTTGGGGGTAAAGGGGAAATCTCCAAGCAGGAGATATGTTCAGGTTTTTATGTAGCCCCTGGCAAGGCTTTTTTTTTTCAAATCCTCACCTGAGGATAGTTTTTCCATTGCTTTTCAAGAGAGAGTGGAAGAGAGGGAGAGTGAGAAAAACACATTGATTGGTTGCCTCCCACACGCCCCCCAAACGGGCCGGGAATCGAGCCTGCAACCGAGGTATGTGCCCTTGGCCAGAATCAAACCCAGGACCTTTCAGTCCACAGGCCGATGCTCTAGCTACTGAGCCAAACTGGCTAGGGCAAGACTATTTTTAAAGAAGGCTGAATGCTCCTGAAAGCTTAAAAGCAGAGCTGCACAGTAGGGATCTGGAGAAGTGGGTGAACTGCCCCGAGACCTCCAGGATAGTGGGCAGCAAGGTCTTTTCTCAGTGATGATGTATTTTAGGCCGGGGGTGGAGGAGGG